TTTTTTTTTTTTTTTTTTTTTTTTTTTTTTTTTTTTTTTTTTTTTTTCATTAGGTGTCACGATATCATCATGATTTTTGGAGAGGTCTTGATTTTGGCGTTTCTCGCCACCACCATGGGCCTGCTGGGCGTATCAATCCACAGCGTGTTCTCATCACACCGCAATAACATCATCGAGCTGAGAAAACTGGAGGATGAAATGATGGAGAAGTATGGCTGGGCGCCATCGGTCCCTTATAACCCGTACTATCCACCCAACTGCTAAACGGGTTGACGAAATGTCCCCAAATGGGACTGAACTTCTGGTTTGGGTTCTCTGTCCATTGGAATGCGAGGCGTTGAATTTGTAGTAACTGTGACAGAACCCTTGCATAATGCTTTGGCTGAAGTAATGTAAAAAATTAATTCTGGTGTTATCAGTGTGATACGAACGCATAGACTTCATAGTGGACGACTATTTTTCGTCGTAAGTTTTTGCAGCTTTTATACATAAAGCGGCAGTTCTAAATTTTTGCAGTTTTTATACATTAAGTGGAAGTTACAAAGTTGATATCTTGATGATATGTTCACCGTAGTTTTCGTAAACTCATTGATAATTCATTAAGTTGAAACAAAGGAAATCTTGATCGTGACGATGTTTGGATACTTGATCTTAATTAGTATAGATTTGTTACGATTTTATTTCTTCGCTTTTCTCCGCAGTTTTAGAATATAAACCAAATACTCAAGACAGTGTTTGACCACATTTCCAAATGCCTCGAAGTTCGTCAAAGATGCTCCGTTACGCGTCGTATTTTCAACTCTCTTCTCTGTGTTTAAAATGGTGATCAAACATGGTCTTTCGTGTTTCATATATTAGGTCAACACCATACTGGGAATTGATATAAAGCAAGTTCGATCGGACGATCAACACACGGTCTTGAAAGATATCTGTTTGTATGTAAATGATTAGTTTTGGGAAGATTCACTGATGTAGAACTTTGTCGCGAGTTTAGACCAAATTTACTGGTATTTCAAATATTTTGGATTCTGTGTCTCTCACGGAAAAGAAAAAAAAATTAAAGAAAGAAAGAAAAGGAAAACCATTTTTCTTGCTTTATATGCGTATTGTCTCAATTAATTCTCTGACACCTTTCTTACGTTACTATACGTTCTTGAGCAGTTCAGGGAATTCGATTTACACCCTGCGAGCAGAGCCTCTTTTATCTCTTTTTGCTTTATTTCTTATTACACGGAAAAAGAGGACACGATTCGTGTAGAACCTTTTCTCGGTACAAAGCAAATGTACCGTAAGAAAAGGCTCTGCTTGCAGGGTGTTCGATTTAGAGCCAGTAGTTAGAATAGACCGTTTGCCGATGCCCTAGAGCTGGGCTTGCCAATCAACAGTCGCCTTAGAAATGGATGAAACAAATGGAAAGGAAATGAAGAATTTAGTAAGATTGCCAATTTTAAGGCCAAAGGTAGCTAAAAGAACATTTTCTTCAGCTTAAAAGTTATAATTGACGATTAAAAATCATCCTTCCAGTTAATCACAAAGAACTCTAACTCTAGATCATTTCCACTATGCACCTGCACTCACCTCGCACAGCGGCATTCTATAACGAACGTTTTGATTCTCATTCGCTGTTGCTGTATAGGAGGCGAATAACAATGTATACGCCATGTCCTCGAACCAGTTTGTGTACTGGAAATAGCGTGAATAAAAGCTCAACGAAGTGGCTTTGCTCGAAATTTGGTAAGATTTCTTGCAGCTGCTCGTAAAATCGGGAAGCGTCAAGATTTTCAACCTAAAAGCCCTGGGAACGAGGTTCGTCATATATAATTCTTTCGTTCGGACTAACTCGTTCCCAGGATCTTGGTTTGCGTTTTTTGCTCGCCAAAGAGTAGACGTTTACGAGCTGTTTCAAGTTGCAAGGCAGAAAAACTTATTTCAAGTTCCCTGGACTATTTATTGCTCTTTATTTTATTTTCATTTGTTTCGGACAGGTTCAGAGCAGGCCTCGACAATCGCTGAAAAAAAAAAAAACGAAAGCAAAGAGTGCGCAAAATAAATTAAGATACGACAGCAAAAAAATAGTAAAAACGTTTGTTCTGACCAAAATTTAATGAAAAATCGCATGTGTTCCCCAAACAAGTAATGACACACTCTGACTCATCGCTTGACGGCGCCATTAATTTTTGGCAGCTGCACCAATTTGAATTGTATTAATATTTTCAAATTTATTTCAGAGAGAAATTAGGGGGCTCTAATTAAAAGTCATTTTGCGTAGAACTTTATCTCTCCAAACAACGGTGTATATTAACAGAAATGAGCCTATCACGTATAAAAAAGATAAATCTAATGCAATACTATTCATTTATCACGCTGTCAGGTTTTCTCAAGATGTTTCGCAACATCATTTTAAAGTAAATAGGAAAGGACCATTGAAGTGCTATTAAAATAGATGTTCTCTATCAATATAAAAACCGAACTAGTTGTTGTTGCCAAAAACATCGAATATCCGATAGAAGCAATTTGCATGAGGAGATCGTAAAGAAGCTTTGGAACCACTACTTTATTCCGAGTAGAAATGCACACATCTTTAGTATATAATAACACAACTTGCTATTGCAAAAAATTAATGAAACATTTGACAGCAATTTCACGCCTTTGTTTACTTTGCATAGCAGATGAATGAGGTCCTATTGTTTTCCGGCGCCATTATATATTGTCCGCTCGCTATAAGGGAGATATTTATATATATTATGTGCGATGACCATTGAAACTAATTCATTCATGTTAAAAGGCACCTCTCGTTGTGTTGCAGTGAAAACAGATGAATATAAAGGTAAAGATTGTTGAAAAGCAAAACTTAAGAAACCTGCTCTTCAGTGGTGAACTCGTCGTGTAGACAATGGCATGGCTAAATATTACAGGTAAGAGATCCATAGCAGAAATTGTAAATTTATTGAAGGGCTTGTATTAGATTTACTAGGGTTAACTCTAATTTATCGAAAGTCAACGTCTCAAACTGAGATGGTCCCCTAGCAAAATGGCATTCCCTGAACAAGATATCTCTCTCGCTTTGCAGGAGAAGAAACCTAAAATATATTATTATTTATTTTGGTGAGAAACTGGAGATTTTAAAGTTAACGTGTATTTATATTTGAACAGGAGATGTTAGGGACTTGGAAATTTGACAATAGAGTCAAAAAGTGAAAAAACGGCATCAACTTATTACAGCTTTGAAAAGAATATTACTTTCCCGTAGTCAACACAGCAATGTCTGTGACCGGAATCTGACAAATGCAGCTCTTCTAGTTCTTCTTGAACTTAACTTAGTCATTTTAATATTATGTAAGCAAATCTGTAAGAAACTAGACAGTTCATTTAAACCTGTTTTCATTTAATACATAAAGACAAAGGGATGATTTTAGCAGTGCAGCGGTTGTTTATTGGGTAAGACAGCTGGGGCAACATACATTTCAGGATTGCATTCAATACTAACATTGGGTTTTTTTAACTAGCTTCGATTCTTTTTCGTTTACAAAATTACTCTCGCAAAAGTTCTGAGGACGAAAATGTTGCTGAATATCACCTCACCTGAACGATTAGGGAATTAATGACTTTTTTTCAGTGCACTATCTTAATGTCAAACAGATAAAAATAATGGTCTTAAAGGGTTTTGAGAGTGACGGTTGACGAGATAAGCGAATGCAAAACACCTGTACTTATTTACTTAGAGTATGTATGGATAGGTGAAATAAAAGTTGTTCATACAGGTTTGGAGCAATTGTGTGACTGCAGACGTCAGTCAGCCGGTCAGTCAGTCAGTCAGTTAAGTCAGTCAGTCAGTCAGTCAGTCAGTAGAAAGACCATGGTAACGATCTAGTCGGTAAAATAATATTGTAAAGTACACGATCATGATTTTGCTAACAATAATAACTGGTTTGTTTTCAGTTCTTTGCTGGAATCTCTGTTTGTTTGTGTCATTAG